CGGTGCAAACTCAAGGCAAGTGGGGGAAACCGAAAGGGCCTGAAGGTCTCCAACTCTCTTAAGGGACGAAATAGCTAGCAGAAAGATAGTCTTAAAGGTAAGAAACTTCTCTGAAACCGAATCTAAGGGCTCGAATGGAGCCCTAGACAGGCCTTCTAGTACTAAAGCAAGATCCCAAGCTGGCACCCTAGTGCGAGTTGCAGGCCTTAGCCTCAAAGTGCCACGAAGGAAACGTGTAATCAGGGGGTCTCGACCCAACGATGTACCCCCCACCAGGGCGTGGTAAGCCGCAATGGCCGCCACGTAGACCTTGAGCGTGGAAGGACATAGACCTGACGTAAAGCGCTCCTGCAGGAACTCGAGTACTGTGTTCACAGAACAGTTAACTGGATCCCACTGATGTCGGTGACACCATACAGAAAAAACTCTCCATTTAAGCGCATATAGTTTCCTAGTAGCTGGAGCTCTGGAGCTTAGAATGGTCTCAGCAGCCTCAGCTTTTTTTTTGCCCCCTCAGAGGCCAAACCCACAGGTTCCAAATTTCTGGTCGAGGGTGAAATATTGTGCCCCCGGCCTGAGACAGAAGGTCTCTCTTGATCGGGATCTCCAAGGGAGGACCGTCTAAGAGATGGATTAGGTCCGCAAACCAGATCCGACTCGGCCAGCGTGGTGCTACTAGCAGTAGGCTTATTCCGTACTGGCAGACTCGTTCCAGAACTCCTGGGAGCAGAGCAACAGGGGGAAATGCGTACAGACGTAGCCTCGGCCACGTCTGCACCATAGCATCCAGCCCCAGGGGGGCTGGGTGAGTAAGGGAGAACCAAAGTGGACAGTGCGTCGTATGCTGAGACGCAAACAGATCCACCTCTGCTTGGCCGTAAAACTCCCAAATTTTCTCCACCGCCTCGGGGTGGAGTCTCCAGTCCCCTGGCCTCAGCTCCTGCCTCGACAGGATGTCTGCCCCAATATTCTGGTCCCCAGGAATATACACTGCCCTCAGGGAGAGTACCTTCCCCAGAGACCACAGGAGGATCTGGTGCGCCAGCTTGCAAAGCGGACGCGACCGTAGACCCTCCTGACGGTTCAGATAAGAGACCACCGATGTGTTGTCTGTACAGACGAGCACATGATGGCCCCTCAGGTCTGGGAGGAATTGCTTCAACGCATTGAAGACGGCCATCATCTCCAGGCAATTTATGTGCCAAGAAAGATGATGACTCCTCCACCGACCCTGAACCGAGCGGCCTTCCATTACCGCTCCCCAGCCGGTGAGGGAAGCATCTGTCGAAATCGTAACTCGATGGCAGAGAGCTCCCAACACCGGACCCTGGGTTAAGAACCAGTGTTTTCTCCATATAACCAAGGCACGAAGGCATCGCCGCGTGATCTTGATCATACGAAGTGGGTTTCCCCTCGGGGAGAACCCTCTGGTCCTGAGCCACCACTGCAAAGGTCTCATGTACAGCAGGCCAAAAGGAATCACGTTGGACGCTGCCGCCAAAAGACCCAACAGTCTCTCGAACTGTTTTACAGTGCGTGACTGGCCTAGCTTTAGCTCTTTGGTGGCTGTCAGGATAGCAGCTACACGAACGGGCAATAGAGTGGCCCGCATCGTCACTGAATCCCATACCACACCAAGGAAAGTGGTTCTCTGTACTGGAGAAAGCACACTTTTCTTGGCATTGAGCCTCAACCCCAACATCTGCATATGAGCGAGAACGAGACCTCGGTGCCGAACCGCCAACTGCTCTGATTCCGCTAGAATCAGCCAGTCGTCGATGTAGTTCAGAATACGTATGCCCTGAAGCCTGAGAGGGGCTAGAGCTGCATCCACGCATTTCGTGAACGTGCGGGGTGATAAAGCTAGACCGAAAGGAAGAACCCGATATTGGTATTCTTTGCCCCCGAAAGAAAACCTTAGGAACTTCCTGTGCTGAGGGAGGATGGAGACATGGAAGTAAGCGTCCTTTAGATCTATCGTGACAAACCAGTCCTCGGATCTGATTTGAGTCACGATCTGCTTGAGTGTCAGCATCTTGAACTTGAGTTTCTGTACTGAACGATTTAACAGACGAAGATCTAAAATGGGACGCAACCCTCCATCCTTTTTTGGAACAATGAAATAACGGCTGTAAAAACCCGACTCTCTGTCGGGTGAGTACACCTGTTCTATAGCTTCCTTTGCTAACAGGGCCTTTACCTCTTGCTCCATTACCAGAGCCTGCTCGGGATGCACCACTGTGGGCAGCACCCCGTTGTAACGAGGAGGACGAGAACCAAACTGGATTCTGTATCCTTTCTCTACAATCTGCAGGACCCAACGAGAAATATTCGGCAGAAGCTTCCACGCTGCCAGAAAATTTACTAAGGGAACCAGCCTCTCGAGGCTGGTCTCTGGTGTTATCGAGACGGCTAATTCCGGAGCCTGAAACATAATGGCAGGAACTACCTGAACTGGCCGCTCTAAGGCCCCCCTCAGAGGGCGCGAAACCGATGCTGTGCCGCAGCATAGCATCAGCGACTCGCTGGAGACCGCTGCGCCCTGAAGCACCGAGGGTGGCAGGGTTGGCAGAACGGTCTCGTGAGGACCCCGAAATGGAACGGGCACCGTATAATGAGGTGTACACCGCTCCACTTCGGTCGGGGCTGTCCTCAAAGGCCTGATGCATGAACATCGGGACCTTTTTTTTTTTTTTTTGAACCGAAGCCTTCTTCGCCTGAAGAACGGTCCTCAGATCCGGCTTCGACTTAGAAGACTTCGGTTGAGAGGGTTGCGTCCGTCTCCAGTCTCTACGTGGAGGTGCACGAGACGCAACACTCTCTTTCTGATGCACACGATATGATGAGCTCGACGGCTGGGGCTGCTCACGCCCAGCAGCCCCAGGGGGCTGGACCCGGCGAGGGATAAACTTTTTTAAAACGTCAGCTTGTTTCTTTGACTCCTGAAATCTCTCGACGACCGCGTGGACTGCGTCGCCGAAGAGACCAGAAGGTTCAAGCGGAGCATCTAATAAAAAAGCTCGATCTTTTTCTTTAATTTCAGACAGATTTAACCATAAATGTCTCTCAGTAGCTACCAAGGCTGCCATAGACCGCCCAATTGCTCTGGCGGTCTCCTTAGTAGCCCTGAGAGAAAGATCGGTAGCCCGACGAAGTTCACGAATATCGTCATGACTGACTCCCTCACTACTATCCAGATCCCCCAGCAGGTCAGCTTGATAAGCCTGGAGCACTGCCATAGTATGCAGACATGCTCCAGCTTGACCTGCTGCCCTATAAGCTTTACCCACTAACACCGAAGTGGCTTTAAGCGGTCTAGTGGGCAAAGCCGAGGCTTTCAGAGACGATGCGGGACCAGGGGAAAGATAACTGGCTAAATTCTCTTCCGCCTGGGGCATCGCCTCATAACCATACTCTTTCAGCCCTCTTATTCTCGAATGAGTGTTAACTTGAGGGCTGAAAAGACGTGATGAGTAAGGTTTATTCCACGATTTAGATATTTCATTGTGCAAATCGGGAAAAAATGGAAGCCCTCGTGGTGGAGATAATGTGGTGGAAGATAAAAAGCGCTCATCTAATTTGCTTTTAGGACGAGCGCCCTTCTTCTCAGATGGCCATTCAATATTTAATTTCTCTACAGCCCGCGACATAACATCCACCAGCTCATCATTTGCTGGGGAAATAAATTGTGAATCTCTTTCCCCCATGTGTGTGCTTTCACTCTCCAAACTCATCGCATCAACCTCCTCGGAGGAAGAGCAATAAAGTAATGGAGGGCTCTCTCCCCGGGCGGAAGAAACCGCAGAGCGTGCTTCCGACACCGGGGGGAGAGCGTTGGATCTCTCGGGTAAGGAAGGAGAAAGAGCCCTCGGACCCGTCTCCAACCCCTCCGAAAGTTCCTTTTGCGATCCCCAGGAATGCAATCTCCGCGCTGCCTCAGCAGACGCGGGTCCTGATCCCTGCGGATCGCGAGCCTGCCCACTCTCTTTATCAAAGAGTGACAGGCGAGAGCGGAGCATGCGAAGCGGTAACATCTCACAATGCTGGCACTCAGCCCCCTCGAAGGCTGAGACCGCATGCTCCACTCCCAAACAAACGACACAAAGCTTGTGTGTGTCCCCACCCGTTAAATAACGCGGGCAGGGAGAAGCACACTGTTTGTACACTTGTTTAGTTTCCATCCTTTTCCGCAACAGACAACAGTAAATAGACAGAGACAAAATGACACAGATCGCTTTTGCTGAGACACAGAAGCTAATGCCGCGTTTCACCGGGTGAGCCTTTATCCCTTCCTGGTCATGACGTCACCCGCCCGTGACGCTCATTCTTTCCATTGGACTAGTTGACATTGATGCTCAGACGCATGCACGCTGGGGGTGTTCCCAAGGCGTCAAGTGACGCATCGAGAGTTCCCTCGAAAGGGAACTCATACGAGTACAGTATGAGCAGTGTTTTCTGTCATAAATGAACATTAATTTAATTGCAAGTTCATTTTATAAGTAAGGAATTGCCTCATAATTTATGAAGAATAATATATATATATATATATATATATATATATATAGCCTATATATATATTACAGTTTTCTATATAGTTAAATTGAAATATTAATTATACCAAATCTTGATTTCAAAGAATAGATTTTTCATTGGAAAATAGATTTATTTTTATGATTTTAGATAGATAGATAGATAGATAGATAGATAGATAGATAGATAGATAGATAGATAGATAGATAGATAGATAGATAGATAGATAGATAGATAGATAGATGTTATATTTTAAGGTATCTTAGCAGTAAATATGTGTATATGTAGGCTATAATTCTTTTCAAAGATCATTTGATAAAGACGATTCATTATTCCACACACAATAGGCTATTACGAACCATTGTCACGTGAATAACAAACTCATGTAAACATAATAGCTTAACACTGCGCACATTTATTCATTGAAGAGAAAGCAGCGCGAGTGAATCCCCCATATTTACATCGCGTCAAGTTTATTGATGAATGAAGTTAACATTTTTAAAGCCAGATAAGCAAGGTGATTTTTCTTGGAAGGAATTGGCTGACTCACACGAGCCACGTATAAACCCTCGAATGAATTTATAGTGTCTGCATGCTTCGCTAATTCACTCCAATTGTCCGCAGGCTGCAGATGCTCTTCGCCAATCCAGCACTGCAGGTGCAGTTAATACTGGAGATGCTGATAGTAGTTCTGGCTAGATGTCCTTTTCTTTGCTTGTTTCTTTTCCTCATCCAGGTTTTTTTTTTCTGCCTATCCCTCTAAATTTTGCTCTAGTGCTGCCGTGTGAGGTGTTGGATTCATTGGATCCCGCAGTCTGACCGGCTTTGCGGCGCTTCTTTAAGAGAATCATCTACATTATCTTTAGTGGATAGCCTATGACGAACAGTTCCGTGTGCTGCCGCATCATGTTGACATAACTCTTTTGAAGAACTGAAAATAATGAATGGCCGGAGAGGAGCGATGATACGAATTAACTCTTTGATGTGAAGGGAAGCTGGAACGGGATTTCGTACTGCATTTAGGTTACTGCCGAGGAAACACTGGAATGAGGCTCTAAACACGTTTCTTGTCGCTGCGAGTTAGCTTGTTGAAGTTGGCTTTGCTCAACAATGGAAAAATGAATTGGAATGGATACTCTGATAAATGTTCCTTAGAGATGGAAGGAAGATTTTCCAGCCTTTTATGAATCTTTTCGTGGTGACTCTGGAAAGGTGGAGCGATCAGGAAAAGCTAATGACGGACCTATTAATCCATCAAAAGCACCAGAGGGGTTTGGAAACGTTTGGATGGAAATGTTTACATCTTTTTCTGGTTTTATACGAAACTACTAATGCATAGTTGTGGATCTCTGCTGGAATCTCCATTGTCATTGATTAATATAGTGAAATGAATTCAGGGCTTTTGACATATATGCTGTGATTTTTTTTTTTTTTTTTTTGGAAATATCCATCTTTTCTTCTGAAAGTATCCCTATCTAAATGGAATTAGTTGAGAAAGCCCTTTGTGAAAGGAATAGACATGGTACATGGGAACAGGTTCCTTCACGGTGAGTCTAGCCGCCAGTTAACTTCACTCTTCCCTCTCTTATATTTTACGCATGAGGTCTATCTGAATTTACCGGTGTGTCCTTTATTCCTTTAGTAACTTTATGTGTGATTGTAAACTGATTAAAATTATTTAATGTGTTTAGTGTTAAATTAAGCGATGCAACTGCATATGCATCATGACATTAGCCTATATAATATTTTCCCAGTTAAATGTTTTTCCTTGCTGGGAAATCCAGCTTGCTGGTAGTTGGTTATAGCTGGTTCTTGCTGGTGATTTGCTGGTCCATAAGCTGGTAAACCATTTGGACCATCAACATACCATCTAGGCTGGTCATCTTAAAGTTGTTAGTTTTTACTTGGTTCTTATCTTCTAGCTTGTCCAAGATGTTCATTAATGGTCTAAGCTAGTTGTTAGCTATAGTTGAAGTTGGAAGAACATCTAGGAAAAAAAAACAAAGCGGCTACTTGCTGGACATATTATGTTAAGGTGTACCTTTAATCAGTAGATAGTCAACTATCCAGCTAACAAATTCCAAAACAATTAGCTTAAGCTGATTTTTTTTTTTTTAATATTTTCCCAAATTTACAGTACATCCATAGCAAGTTAATTAGTCTGGAAAATGAATGGAAAATAAAGACCTAAATAAATAAATGTAATTATTTATTTTGCGTTTATTTTGTGTTGTGTTAAACACTAATAGAAATAAGAGTAACTTTTTCAAGGTATAGACCAAATTCCTTAGGGATAAGGTTTCAGATCCCTGATTTTCAACCATTCCTTGAAGTATTTCTGTTTTGTGATGTCCAGCTGTATGTTCATAATGAGTCCTCGTGATTCTATGCTGTTTTGATCTGAAATCTTTTGTCGCAGTTGTTGCAGGTCTTCTCATGCTTGGGTTGTCTGGGGCAACAAAGAAAGAAGCAGGTAATGATGTTTTGTCACAGAATACCCACCCACTTTCTATCTCCATGTTTCCTGGCAATCTCTGACATTTGACTGCTTTCTCTCAGTGAAAAACAATTCAGGAGTGCAGCCGGCAGGGCAGTGTGGAACCTGGGTGAAAGAACCAGAGGGAGGCCTCTTCACCTCACCCAATTACCCAAACAAATATCCCCCAGAGCGAGAATGCATCTACATCATTGAAGGTATAAAAAGATCCTTGTTCAAATAGTAAATGCAGCTCACAAGCAAATCTTTCATGTGACACTTGGATGGGGGGGGGGGGGGGGGTTGTTTTAAACTGTTCAGTAGCGCAGTTGCACTCACAGTGAAGGATGCAGGAGCAATCAGTTGATTGTTAATCCCATGCAGCACCACGATACTAATAAACAGAACACTAGTGTTTCATTTGCATTTATTACGGAAGGATATATAGATCAACAATCTCTCAATATTTGAAAGTCAATTTGATTATCGCAATTAGATTTCAGTAAAAAAAAAAGGATTGTCTTTCAGTCACATCTGTTGGACTGTATGCTGCAGTGCTGCTGCAAGCTGATAATCTTATTGAACTAAGAAGCTAGTAGCAATTGTCTTGCAATCTGATGGTTTATACGTGATAATCTTTGACTGTCATAATAAGATTACAAATGTTATGAGATCTTATTAGTAAATACCACTGTTAAACCCATGTGGTCTTCAATCTTTAGTGATAATTTCTTTCGATTAAGTGTGATGTTACTGTGCTTTTTCCACCAGTAGCAATACATGCATGTGGTTGCAGTCCATGTACCTTTGAACTCAGAAACTTCCTTTGTATACTAATAATGAAAATACTAATCAGACATACCCAAACCAATCTCATAAGAAAACGTAAGTATTCAACGATGTTGCTATTTCTTTTGAATTTGTGTGATTCGTGCGTAAGTGAACAGCTTTAAGAAATAAAGCAAGCATGAAGGTCCACCTCTAAACCATAACCTAACCACCAGAGGGTCATAAGCAGATTGTACAAAAAAGGTATGAATGAGATTATACAAAATTCATACGAATTAGCCACCAATTTGCCAAAACATAAAATAGTTATGTATTGCCATGACAGTATGTTTTACGTATGACATCATCCATCCTAAATTACAGCTGCCAGTCTTCATGATTTCTTTTCACTCTTTGCAGCTCCCCCGAGACAATGCATTGATCTTTTCTTTGATGAAAAGTATTCAATAGAGCCTTCATGGGAATGTAAATTTGACCATATTGAAGTCCGGGACGGGCCCTTTGGCTTTTCTCCAATAATTGGACGCTACTGCGGGCAGCAGAACCCTCCATACATCAGATCGAGCAGCCGCTACCTATGGATAAAATTTGTTGCAGATGGTGAATTGGAAGCCATGGGATTTTCTGCGAGCTACAATTTCACAGCAGGTAGGCCTACGTACTGTTTTATTCTCCTTTATGCAGTGTCAGTAATGTTTACTATTGTGAAAGACTTATTACACTAGTGAGTTTTTGGTTTTCCTTGATGGTTTTCAAGAGTTCTGGAACCGGTTTTGAGTGACCTCCGTACCCTCGGGTTATTGTTATCCTCTGCATGTCAAATTGAATTCCTGATGCAATCAGAAACTATACTCTTCAAAATCCAAGCCGGTGATTCATATAGCAATTATTGTGGGTCCATGTTGGTTCTGTCAATGATCCTAATCTGCAGTTGAGCTTATTAGTCATTCTATTGCAATAAAGAACAGCCTGTATGTTCTAATTAATCTAAAACCATTTTAAATTGTTTACCTTGATCAGCTCTTAGTACCACAATGAATGCTGACAATTCTTCCCAGGACCTGCTTCAGATGCTCAAGATTGCCAATAAAGATGCTAAGTGGTAACAACTACATCATTCCGTATATAACTGATTTCACATCCCCTCAAAGGAATCCTTTGAAAATATGTAGCACATTGCAAAATGGTTGATTTTTATCAGACGTCTCATTCTCAGTGTATTAAAATTCACTGCTTTCTGATCATTTGCTTTGATTTAAAATTGAAGCTCTGAAGTGAGTCATACTGTACCTGAGTTTAAGCGAGAGATGTTTGCGTAAATGGTGTGCAAATTGAACAGCGATAGATATTGTGTGAAGAATGCTAAAAGCAATATTTGAATAAAGCTGCAACTACAGTTGTAAATGCCCAAGAATTTCACAGAGCGGTCGAGCTTTAAGGGCCTTGCTGATGAATTACACAGCTGTACAAGAGAAAGTAGCACACAATTGAAGGCAGCACTGATTTAGAGTCGTATCTGAGAAATGAGTTTTGAGCCGAGAATTTTTCCATCCTATTGTGAGTCAGGAAGAAATTCTTTCACCAAGTTTGGAGAAACTGTTCAGCATGAATGGATTCAGACTCTCGCTTCGCAACTTGCCAGGGAAGAAACACAGCTTCCTCTAGTCTTGATAAGGAATATCAGTGGCATATAATTTACATAATTAAGGAGATAAAAGTCCCTGAATTCACTTTCCTTGATGTTCCCCCAAAAAAGTGGAGAGCGCATCTGCTCTGCTGCAGCCAATGGAAACACATGCTAATGCAGAAGGTACAACAGATGAATGAAAAGCAGGGAATGAGGAAGGATAGAAATTGCATGTCATCTTCCTTGGTGTTTTTCACATTTTATCGCTATAGAAAGAAACATGTATTTAGCTCAAAATGAATGCTTCTTGTTACAAAACGGTCACTCAATCAAAGATATGCCAATCTGCAGTGTGAAAGAGGGGGAACTTAGTCTAGTGTATTTTCGTCATGCTGGGGCTCTGGCAGCAAAACTTCTGAAATTCTCTGCATCAGACCTCATTAAGACTGCACTTGCTTGATTCATATCAAATCAGTTAAAGTGCAGCTTACTTACAGATATAATCTCTAGACTTTTCTCCTTACTGTAGTAGAGCTGTGATCAACTTGAAATTAAATCAGTTTAAAAGTATGATTCGAAGCCTGGAGGGAAAATAGGGTTTGGAAACTGTGAAGCCTTGTTTAAAGTTGTCATGAAATCAAAATTGACCCTCTTTACTTTGTTTGAGCACATTACTAGTCATGTGGTGAACAATTAATCTGTGCAAGTTAATACACAGTATAAAACATGTTTGTTGTGGTAATCTTTAATCAAAATATGACAATATGATTCCGCTCTAGAATGGCATTCCTTTACATCAGTTTGACGGCTTGGGTTGAAAGCGCTTAACCACTCTCCTCCAACCGTCAGTCTGCTATGAGCGAGGGATGGAGAGGAGGTTCCCTAAAGTAAAATCCCGCCCTCTATTCAATGTTATGTTTCACTTGGAAATACATCACTCACAACACTGAAGTAAAGTCGGTTGCAACTTCCGGTTCATGGGAACTTTAAAAATGACCAGAATACCTAAATGTTTTCATGCGGACAAAAACACTGTACTAAACAAGACTAAATACTGTTCTTGGTATCATATATTATTCAGTGCAGAACCTTTATTGTGACCAGTGAAGTCCTGAGCTAATGAGTTTATGAGCTATTTATTTTGAATAAAAAAAGAATACAGCACGACCAAGGAAGTCCAGTTCTGATGTGAATGATTTTAATGACACTTATGAGCTTGTTAATAGATCAAAATAGTGAACCGGTTCCATAAAATGGATCCAAAACAAACATTCTGATTCTCAAGAGAATGACACTTATGAGCCAATTTTTTTTAGTGAATCAAAAAAATAAAAGGTTGATCAATGTATTTTGACTGATCTGACTCACTTACTGAACAGCAAAACATTCATTTTGATTCCATGAACCAAGAACTGTCTAATACTATGCTATGTTGTTCTTAAAGCTCCAGTCCGTAACTTTTTTGGGTTCAAAATTATCCAAAATAAATTTTTGAGCAAGAACATAACCAGCCAGTGTTCAACGCTATCTGCTTGCCTTAGCTTGATTCAAAACGGTAAGCTTGTAATAATGTTTTTAATTTCACTGGTACTGGTGGATTTCCGCATGAATTTCAAGCATTTCTTTGTGTCATTACGTCACATCTGTACACATAAAGAAGGTGTCCCGGCTAGTAGGCTATATTGTGTGTGAGGATGTTGGAGGTGGAGATTTATAGCCTTTTCTCACAGCACTTAATATATATATAATAAAAATATAATTTTATATATACTTAAACGTATTAATTTGATGGCGGATCCAGAAAGGTGACAACTGGAGATTCACCCGTTGTAAAATGCAAAAGACTTCGGACTTCGGAGTGGCTACAGAAAAAAAGAGACTGCAACCGGTCCCATGCGAAAACAAGGATAAATATATGAAGGGCTTTAAATGTAGTCACGCAATGCTGATGTTGTTATCATTAACAATTTGAGAACAAAGTATAATTTGCACGGTTTGACGTGATATGATAATCAATCACTAGATTTAATCAGCGAGATTTACTGCAATGCTTTTTTCCCCTTAGTTGGTCAGAACAAAAGTGGATGTTACTTACTTGTTCAGATGACATATTCCGGTGAAAATTCTTATGTTGGTCATACTTCCAAAAAGTAGAATCTGTGATTCCAAATGACAGAATCCACACCGGCGTGATGACTGACAGCCGCACATTCTCCTCAAAACATTGGATTCATCCGCGCTGTGCCGTGCCGAGGCACAACCTACATAAAGTTGATAATTCCGCGAATAACTGCAATTGCAGATTTCGAACAGAGATGGCGACAAAGAGGAAAAACTACGGACTGCAGCTTTAAAGGGGATAGATGAAAATTCAGTCATTATATTTACGCACCCTGGTGTTGTTTTAATGCCATATTTTTCTTTATTTTAAAGACCACAAAAGGAGAAATTTTAATTAAAAAAAATCCTGCTCATGCTCGTCCAATGGCAGTAAAAAGGAAACAGATTCAGGCTTTAAAGAAACGTTGCAAAATATCACAGACTGACACACAAGCGCACCATTTCGAGAAATCAAGAGTAATAAAACGACACGAAACATGGCTCCTAAAAACATTATGCACATCCTTTCTTCTTTGATGTAAAGATCTCTGTTTTGTTACTGTTGTCGCAACAGCAAAGCGATTTCTTGCAGTCACATAAGTCAACTGTCATTTCAACGGTCATCTAACCAGAGTTTTGTGCACTGTTTTGATTAATCTTCATTTCTGTAAATGGTGTGCTTGTGTGCTTTTCTTGGAAGAGCTGGAGTGAACTGCTGCGCTAATACGGTCTCATGAACATACAGTCATGAGCCATGCACACCTGGTTTTAGCAAAACAAAGCTTTTTGAAAACACTCTCCAAAGTGGATACATTTGAAAATGCAGTTTTCGCATTTTAGTGTGGATTGTGAAAACGGAGGTATTTGAAAACAACGATTTTAGTCATGTGACGCATATTAAACCCATAGTTATTCATGTTACAGTAATACCGGTATTGTACCTGCTATGTGCTATTCACTTTCACACAGTCGCTAAAATATGTTACTTTGCACACTCTTCATATCACAGTCCTGCAAAGAGGACAGACAATTCACTCACATTTGCTGTCCTGCGGCAAAACATGAGAGCAGTTGCATTTTAGATCAAACATATAATGGTAAGTGAGTGCGACCTGGACGCATCAGTGAATTGTGAGATATTTTGCTAAATAAAATGATCCTGCCAGAAGAATTCCTTGATACAGTAACTTGATTATGTTTTGTTCTGTCTGTATCATCTCAGTGAGCTTTTATGAGGGTTTACGCATGCGCTATACAGTGAATTTAGTGTTTTCCGACTTTTCAGTGTGGATGACAAACTTTTGGAAAACGCTTGAAAACGCTAGTGTGGGCCTAGCAGAAAAAGTCTATCAAATCTATCAAATCTAAATCAAATCTATCTGGATTAATGTAAACCTCAAATCTATCTGGATTAATGTAGACATAGCATAGGATTAATGTTTCCAATTCTAAGAATTCACCAATTCAAATCAAAGAATTCAAACCTAAATTCCGCATGATTTCCATCCCTAATTAAAAATTGGTTATAATCAGATTGAAAGCAATTAATTCCAAATTGTCACTCTAAAATAATAAGGAAAAGATTCCAATCACTCTAAAATTGGTTAGAAGGTGTGGGAATGCTGTAGACTGATGTAAATCTTGAACCTGGGCAACAAGCAACCAGTTGTAGTTTAAGATATTCAAACATCACATGGCTTTAATGCTTGAGTTTTCCAATTTGGTTATAAAGTAATTAAAGGATTTTTCACTCAAGGTTAGTTTCATCTGAAATTGCAGATGCATGGCATAATCCATTGCTGGATGATTTCCAAAGTAGTGATTTAAATAGTAGAATGATGTGCGCACTGTGTGTAATTACTTCCTGATATCGTGTGAAAATAAAAATGGTTGTGTGCAGTCACTCACAGCATTCAGATGC